AAAAGCACAGTCGCCTTTTTTTTTCTCATGCACTGCACGCTGCAGGATTTTTTATATATAGTGCACACTTACCACACAGACCTATTCTTTCACATCAGGTCCTTAAGCAAACACTATGATGACCTCCTGGCACTCCTTGAATCACTAAAGACACCCTTCTCCTGCATTATTCTTACTGAGACCTGGCTTAAGCAGGACACAATAGATATCTACCCTCTACCAGGATACACAGCAATTCACAACTGCAGACCAAACCAAGTTGGGGGTGGTATTGCAATCTATTACTCTAACCAATTATCTTGTATTAGCACCACTTGCTTTAGTGATAAATATGGGGAATACATTTTTGCTAATTTTACTGTAAAAAAACTTAAGACACCCATAACAATCGGTACCATTTACTGGATACCTCACACAAACATCCCAAATTTCAGTGAGAAATTAAAGTCCACTAATAACAAACAGACAAATGAATAAGCACCACCTTCTCTTAGCTGGAGACTTCAACATCAACCTTGGCTTACTAGATGATCAGCCTGTAACTGATTTCATCAACAATATGAACAACACACTTCTCATACCAACAATAACTAAACCAACCAGCTCACTGAGACAAGTGCAACCATAATAGACCACATATGGACCAATAAACTACTAGCCCCCCTTAAATCGGGGATAATCACAGATAGCACTACAGACCACTACCCTACCTTCCCCCTACAAACATTAATAAACCACCCTTGAATACAAAAAGCCATTTAGACTCCATGACGGGGCCTCAAAAGGAAAGCACAACGCCCTAGAGATTTTGACTGGCCACAAAATTTCTCCAAGCCAAGGGTACTGATGACGGACAGACATTTTTCTTAACAAATTACTTAACTAACAAAAACTTTGCCTTAAAAACAAACAGACACAAACAAAGGGCTTGGTTGCCCATGACTAACCAGCCCATTCTGAAAATCCATGACAAAAAAACCCAATAGAAAACAATATAGACAGGCTTAATACACAAAAAATTTTTCTAAAACACTATTCATCATTCCACCAAAGTAATAAAAAACCCAAAAAACTATACACTCCAAGATTCACAGACACAGAGGAATAAAAAAAAGACCGGGAAAAACACTCCCCTCAGATTTGGGGACCCACAAACGAAAAAAAAACAGAATATGTCCAAACAAAACCCAATGAAAAAACACTACATCCCACTGACACAGCTAAAAAGATCGACTTCTCAACCTAGGTTTAATTCCCAATAAAATCCACATACAATGCCCATGCCCGGGGACACTAGAGGGGAAATTTCCCCAAAATTTCCTTTCATTTTGCCCAACTGGCCCTCGGAAGTCACCGAAAATTAAAAAAGTCACTTAAAAACAACTCAGGAATAGTCTAATGTCCCACCATTACTGACAAGCAGCGGCCCAACCTTTCGCATGCTATTCTTTACTTTTTAAAATCACTAAAAAACTACACCTTCCTGAAATACTCAAAGGAAGGGGTTTACACCAAACATAAAGGGGGTGACCCACAACTTAAAACACATGGGCCAATAAAAAACTTACCATTGCATCCAAAATTTTTGAAAACTCTGCACAGGAGACATATTCATTTATAACACACAAAACATACTAAACCCCTGCCATTTTGGTTTTAGGAAAAATAAAAGCACTAATGAGCAATCATAAAAATGCTAGATCTGTTTTACACAGCATTGGAAAAAAAGGGAAATACATAAAATTTTTTTATTGACCTAAAAAAGCTTTGACAAAGAAACCCCACGACTCCTACTCCCAAAAACTTGACATTCGGTATAAAGGCCATGCCTTTGCTTATTTAAAATTTACCTTACTAATAGGTATCAAAAGTTACCTTTAAAGACACAGCATCAACAACAGGGCCACTTGATACTGGAGTTCGCAGGGAAGGCCCTTTGGGTCCCCTCTCTTCCTCATATACATCAAAGATCTTCCAAACGATCCCAAAACCTAAACCCCCTTCTCTTTTCTGACGACACACTTATGTCATCTCCACCCAATCTTGCCACCCCAACACCATTTTTAACGGAGCTGATAAAATATCGACTTGATGACAGCCAATAAACTTACCTTTAAAAACTGCAAAAACCCACTTATTTTTTTGGTACAGAGCAGATATGCACAAATTTAAAAATTTTAAACGACAACACTCTAAATACCAGACTAATAGGGAAATTCCTAGGCTTAACCTTTACAACAACCTGAATTTCAGCACCCATACCAAACAAACCAAAAAAATAACCAAAACAGTTGGGACCTCCCAAGAACATACTACGTGCCACAAAAAAGCCCTCCACCATCCACTCACTTATTTCCTACCTCATATGCTTTTGTGCTTGGGGATCAACCAGCAACACACCTAAAGCCAAAAAAACCCAACAAAAAACTGCAGTAAAAAACACTAAAACCCATCCTGGGAACACACCCCCCCACTCTTCATAGATCAAACTTCCCCTGTTCATACACCCACTTTACTACTGGCAAACTACACTAAAGGGCCTTAACTCCAAAATCAACCTTGACCTAAAAGCTTTTTTGATAGTTGTGACAGAACCCAAGGGAAAACCAACACAAAAAATCTCTCGACATTCCCATGTCCGACTAAACCTTTACAAAAAATTTAAAGTATGCAAAAGGCCTTTAAAAAATGGAACACCCTACCTGAGAACTCAGAACTGCAGAAACATTCATCACCTTCAAAAATACCATTAAAAAACATCTTATCTCCCTGTAAAACCCCATCAAATAACTACACGAAAACCACCTGGTGGGTTTCCCCTTTACATTTTATTAATCTCAACTAAAATAATGAATCCATGATACTCCAAACTGAAAAAATGTACTATCCAAAACAAAAGCTTCACATTGCAACCCACAAACAGTATTTATCACTTAGCCATTACCAAATACCCCCCATAATTTTTAATATTTTTAAAATAAAGATTAAACAAGTCTGCCCGAAATGCCTAGCCATGCAGCTTCTAGTGGGACACTCGTAATCAATTTAACACATGTAAACCACACAACAACCAAATTCTGTAAATTCAACATTGTAATCTTATAGAAATAAACTTTTAATTTTAATTTGAATATGGAGGCCCAAATTTAGTCACGTTTCCCGGCCCCCCCTTATTTATGCTGCTTTCACTTTTAACTTTTATCATTCAAAAAATAGAAGATTTACTGTTTACAGACACTGCATTAGGGTTAATAGTAACTGTATAAATAATGCAACCCAAACAAAATTATTCTATTTTTGCAATATAATTTTTTTCTATCAAATGGACCAAAAAAAAAGAGAATACAACTATACAAACCATATGGGAAATACACCGCAAAATCACTGTTTTACACCAGAAGCACAGCTGCCTATTTTTTTTATTATGCACTGCTTGCTGCAGGATTTTTTTTATATAGTGCACATTTACCACAGAGACCTATTCTCTCATATGTAGGCCAAAATTTACCGGTCACAGGTCTGATAGCTGAGTCATGGGGACCACATGGGTTCAAAGCCACCTTACCTTTTATGGATAATGTACAGTGTATGTGCTTTACACAACGAGAAGCAGTTCTTTTATTCATTGGACCCATGGCTAGGGCTAAAAGTGAGCAGGTTATAACAAAAAATGGAGAAAAAGAAATTGGCATGACTTATTCAGCAAGTAACACCACGAAACAGTAGCGGTAGGTTGGTACTGCGACCCCGGAAATTTGAAATTTTGCTAGTCGAAATTAATGCCAGATTACTGATGGAACCGGATTACTGACTGCCAGATTAGTGATGGCCAACCTGTAGTACATCCCAATAGGTATCCCCCTTTATGAGAATATATAAAAACTGAAGCCCTAGTTTTGTTTCTCATTAACTATGAAGCTCAAAACTTTAAAGGCTTCGTGAAACTAATTTGAATACCACTGCAATATACATGCACACACAATGTGAGTGCATACATATATGAACCATGGACTATCCAACCACTACATAATAGCTAGGTGAATATTACATCATAATCACTGTTATTATAGCAGGTGCTGTATCTAGCATACTATGGTACTATCTTCACATACATCTGAAAACTATTTTTTTTAACATCAGCTGTCTCCCAGTTAGGCAGGGTGACCCAAAAAAGAAGACATACTTTCATCAACACTCACTCCATCACTGCTTTGCCAAATGAATGCCAATACTACAGTTCAAAAACTGTAACATATCTTCCCCCCCTCCTTCCAAGTGTAGACATTGTACTTCCCACCTCCAGACTCAAGTCCAGCTAACCAGTTTCCCTGAATCCCTTCATAAACATTACTTTGCTCATACCCCAACAGCAAATCAAATCATAAAAACTATTTGCCTCCACTCACTCCTATCTAACATGCTCACGCATGTTCGCTGGAAGTCCAAGCCCCTCACATACAAAACCTCCTATACCCCCCTCCCCCCAACTTCCCCTAGACCAGCCCCTATCCAGCCTTCCTTCCACTGCAGATTTATACATCCTCCAAGTCGTTCTATTATGTCTCTAAATGTCTGAACCACCTCAACAATCCCTCTTCAGCCCTCTGAATAATACTTTTTGTAGCCCCGCACCTGCTTCTAATCTTCAAGCAATGTATTGTCTGCATAAAATTCATGCCACACATTACACTCAGACATGACATCTCCATTGCCTCCAGCCTTCTCCTTGATGCAATATTCACCACCCATGCTTCACACCCACCTAAGAGCAGTGGTACTACTATACTCTCATACATTTCCCTCTTTGCTTCCATGGATAATGTTCTTTATCTTGAATACTAGTACAAAATAAAAATTTATTGTGATCTCTATGCACTTTTGTCAAGACAGCTACTGAATGAATGATAGTCTTTCTTTGGATCACCCTACTTTATAGTGAAAATGGCCAATATTATAATAAGAAAAATATAAAATTTAATATTGTATAGTAAGTTACCCACCTCATTCCTCTTTCTTGACCTCCTCCACTCATCAAGGCTTCTACACGGACCCTGGGTCGACGGCGCACATACAGGCAGCCAACCCCTTTTGGGCCATAAAGCTTGTGACCACTGGAAAAATAAATTATAATATTCAGTGATTCAACAAATGAATAAAAATAATTATCACTCATTTTCATTAAAAGACATGATAGATGTGATATACTGTACAGTATTTAGATCTACTGTAACACTACTTACAAGATCACTAAATATTCTCATTTACAGTAATCAAACTGTGACTAAATGCCTGTGGAAAAAAGGAACATCTATATTAATTACATTCTGCTGGTGATAGCAGTATGGTTTTCTGGTTAACTTCACAAGTACAGTGGTACCTCAAGTTTCAAACAATTCCCAACTCGAACAATTATGTAAGTGTATTTTTGTAAGTGCTTTTGTAGTGTATTTCTGGGTGTCTGAAACAGACTAATCTAATTTACATTATTCCTTTTGGGAACAAATTCATTTGGTATTGGCACTTGAACAGCCTTCTGGAACAAAATAAGTTTGTAACTTGAGGTACCACTGTACATATTACTTCAATAATTTTCATTACAGCAGAAAATTCATTATTCTGTTTAATATATGCATTAGGAATTTAGCAAGCTCATTTTAAAAAAGATAAAGATTTTATTTCTTTGCAAAGGTTACAATGTGTAATTACAATTTTGATTTGTTAAGTACAAAGAAAGCCACTATCACGCCAGGGCATTTCGGGCAGACTAATCCTAGTACATAATAACTACTTAAGTCCAGACAAGATAAGAATGGTTAACTTTTTAAAAAACTTAATACTAATGAGAGGTAGTAAAGGTGGAAGTTTGTAAGAATAATAATCTTGAAGTTGCACATAATAAAAACAATATTACATTTAACCCTTTTGGAGTTTCGCCCATACTAGTACGGCTTACGCGCCAGGGTTTTTGACGTACTAGTACGCATAAATTCTAGCGCCCTCAAATCTAGCAAGAGAAAGCTGGTAGGCCTACAGGTGTGTGAAGGCTTACTCAGCCCTGTAACAAATTCAGACAGTATTACCAAGGCTGGCTCCTCCTCAGGAAAATTAATGAATAGAAAAAGAAATAATAACAGACAAACATAAACACTTTATTATATAGAAAATATAAAATATAAAACACTTAAATATGAAATATTAATCCTACATTAAAGAAAATGAAACATATAAATGATAACTGAATTCAACGCTAATATAAAACTTGGGTGTCTGGTGTTGGTGACACTGCTTGTTGAAATCGTAGCCGTTGCCGATGATGGGGGGGGGGGGTCGCAGGTGTTGGTTACAACCCACTGGCTAGTTCTTCACCGTATAGCCTTGAGTATTCTATCCCAATGACAGGAAAGCAGGTTCTTTACCGCTGTAATGATGAGGGGTTACGTCCTGCAATTTCATACAGGTGCACAGGTAATTAAATCCAAAAAGGGGAAGTCTCAGGACGTTAGTCCATCTCCATCAGTTCTACTCGTTGATTGGCAGGTGACCCTCTCTGTCATCCAAGCTGGAACGATAAGACAGGTTACCCACTGCTTAAGAAATCACTCTCCATGATAAGTACAATACCTAAAAGATGTGGTGATTATTACAACAGTCAACTTAGAGCAAAACTGAAAGGACTAAGTTTATTATTGGTCAAAAGTGAAGCTTTCAATCAATAAACCCACTAGAATACAAGGCAGGAATGTACTTACAGTAGTGCTGGGAGCTGTGAGTCTAGTGATTACTGTTTGGACCGGAGCCCCACACGTCACCTTTCAGGGGGGGGAAGAAGGAGGGGAAGGGATAGCGGGAGCTAGACTGACCCTACCTTAACAAGCAGCCACTCAAATATCATTTCGGGGGGGGGGGAAAAAAGGCGGGAATAGGGGGAGTTTGACTTCCCTCCCTTTAAAACAATGCCGCAATGAAACTATCATTTTGGGGAGGGGGGGAAAAAAAGGGGGGAATAGGGGCTTGACTTCCCTCCCTAAAAAGTGGGGCCAATGAAACTATTTTTTACTATATACCCCCTCGCTATTTCCTATCTATTGAACTTTTCCTCACACCCCCCATCCAAAGACTTATGTAAAGGAGTTAAAAGAAAAATGGGCGGGGAAAAAAATTTCTAACATATGGAAGTTGCGTAAGGCAAGAAATTTCTACGACTTCACAATTTAAACCCTAAGAAAAATTGGATTAACATTGATATACACAATAGGGAACTTAAAGCCTGGAGTGCCAATGTCCCCTCAAAAGGCGACTTTTTGGTTCCCTTAAAAGTTTCTGGGTTTATTAAAAGATTTTGGGGCCCGTTTTAAAAAAAAATTCTTTTCCCAGAAATAAAATTTAAGTTTGGAGATCCCCCACAAAAGAGCAAAACATTCCTTTTCTATTGTGGAGTTTTCTCTTTCGGGGGGAAGGATTTTTCCGGCTTGGGAAGATACAGGGAAGGGAGTACCATATGGTATTTTGGAAACACGCACCAAAGCCAGTATTGGAGGCACAGTTTTTAAACCCCTTTGGGTCCAAAGGGCCCAAATTGGAGTCACGTACCAGTGCCCAAGAATTTAAAAAAAAAAAATTTGTTTTTTTTTTCTTATGAAATCTTTTTGGGGAAAATCTTTTTGTAAAGGAAATAAAAAAAAAAGTAGAAAAATTTGGGGGAAAAAATTGGGACAAAATTAAACTTCGCGAATTTTTTGATGTGTCAGCGATATTTACGAAGGGCGATTTTCCCGACTTTGCTCCCATTTTGGGCCAATTACATTATTCCAATAAACCCAAATTCTTAGCTATTTCACTAGTATTTTATTCTTTTTGAGCACAAAATTTGCCAAGAACTGTTTCAACTAAAAAATAAAGTGAGGGAAAATTTGTTATTTGGCCAATTTAACACAAAGTTCAAAAACCCAAATTTTCAAAATGGGGCCCCAGAATGAACAATGTAGGCATTCGGCATAAACTAACATTTCCTCTTTTCTTATTTTATTTTTGGGCTTTACAAAAAATTTCCCATTTTGATTTTTTTTTCACATAATAAATTTTTTATTCACCAAAAAATAGAAATTTACTTTTATGCAATACTGTAATAATTGTATAAATATCACACCATATTTGTGAATGTATATTAGACCCCCCCCCACTGGTGTGTATTAGAATGTGAGGTCGTTTGTTTATCTTGAATACGGCAAAAATTTAACATTTCTGCTACTTTGAGTCATTTAACCCCATTTCCAGTGCTAAAACCAATAAAAAATCATCTCTATTTCGAAATTGTCTTCCATTCTATCAAATGAGACCAAGAAATGAAAATACAAATAAAAAACTACAAAAAAAAACCCATGAAAAGTTCTTTTTAATCGAAAAATCATGATTTCATTTTTTTTCTCTTTATACACAGTGTGTGCGGGATTGTTTTATGGGGTGCACCATCCCACATGATGTATTCTCTCTTATTAGGCCCAAAGTACCACTCCCCAGTTTTATAGAGTGAGTGATCATGGGGTAGATCTAGGGTTTTGGGCCCCAAAAGTAAACCCGAGATCTATGGGACGGACCCTAAAAGGGGTTAAGCAAAAGTTTTATTTATTTTGGGGAATTTTAAGTATAGGGTTTTTCAAAAAAGAATTTTTAAATTCCTTTTAAATTTTTCCCCCGGTAGTAGAAATTCAGGGTTTCCCTTCACAGACTTTTAAAGGAAGTGGATAAGATCCCTGTAAGATCAGAAAGGTTGGGGAAAACCCGTGCAAAAAAATTTATAAAACCCAAGAAAGAAACGCATGAGCTTCTTGGTTTTGGGGGAATTTAAATTCTAAAAAAGTTTTGATCTTACTGGGGAGGGCTGCAGAGAGTTATTAGAAAGTACGTCCAAGATATCAATTTTTTATCCCAAAGGGAAGCATTTCTTCGGCTTGGCGGGGGGCCTTTGTGAGCGTAATTTGGGAAAAACGAGTTAATGTGGGGGATATTTCCCCCCCCGGGTTTTCTTATGAAAATGTTTAAAAAAAACTGAACTTTGGCTATTACCAAGACCCTTCCATCATTCACGTAGGAAACCAGGCAGTTACCAAACCAAAGGGGCATGTTCTATATTGATCAGTCCTTGGTGTGTGGGAAAAAGCGGTTTTTTTTAAAAGAAGGATCAAACATTACTTGATATATCCCTGGCAATATCAATTTTTGAAAAGAAGGAAGATTTTAAAAAATTTGTGTAGATCGTATCTATTAGGGCATAGGCTCAGCATCCCCCGGTTATAGCTTTAAGGCCTTAAATCATGCAAGTCTATTTTAAATTATCCTCCTTCTTAACCATGCTAGGGGAAAAACAATAGAAGATCGAAGGTTCAATGTTTTTTTAGTTTTAAAATTTTGTCTCCCTCTCGGTCAAACACCCCGGGGGTAACTGGAACTGGGTATAATTTTTTTTTGATAGGATTGTCCGCACAAGTCAATTTATGGACTACCGTGGGGGTAACCCTCGAAATCAGTAAAGACTCTGAAAAAACTCACACTTTAAAGTAGTTCATGTCTCTTTGGTCATCCGAATTTTATTAATATTAATGTTGGTTGCGTCCGAGTGGTCAAGAGTACCAAGTCAGTAGTTCTTCATATAGTCAATTAGAGGTGTCTTTACGCCACCCACTTCTTCGTTGTGTATTAAGTTGTGTGGAAAAAAAACTAAGGAAAAATTTTTAATGGGCTTTAACCGAATTTCTTCGGTAATATTTCTTAAGGAGTTGATATGATAAAGCTTGGGTTTTCCCTTGTTCTATGAGGTAGTCAATTTTCCCCCAAAAATTTTTAATTTTTATATGGACCTTTCCTGCACAAATAATTTATTGACTTGATAGGCAAAAGACAGAAATTCACCCCTACTTTAAAACTCTCTGATTTTGGAATCAAAATTTTTTTTGTATGGCCCATTGAAAATTTGGGTTTTTAAAAATATGTCAGAGGTCTCCCAAGTTTGGATCAAAGGGTCAAGGAAAAATGGTAAAAAGATGACCTCAGCATCACCCCTCATTAGTCCATAATTGAAGGAGGGACAATGGGCCTTGGGCCTGTCTACCACGAG